TAGATGGAAACCAAAAATGCATTTAATTTTGTTGAAGCATCAAATGTCTAGATTCATTTGGGTGGTAGGTAAAAGATTTGGTGATTAATTATGAACATCGTAAGTGTAAACAAAAAATTTTAAGAGAGTTTTATTGCTTATTGTCAGAGTATTGAATACTATTAATTAAGGCTAATTTAAGGGGGAAAAAAATAGCTTTGCACCTAAATGCTTTAGTAATAATGGATGTTTAGTGAAAATTCAGTGGTTTGGATTGGATTCCTTCGGTGGTAGGGATGAGATTTGGTGATGTATATTTGTGATTGAGTGTTATATTCATATCTACGCAAAAGAATCTTAGAAAGTGTAATTGCCCATAAATAGTTAGAAGCTAATTTAAGGGAAAAAAAAAAAAAAGGAGTAATTGCTAATTTTTAATAAGGAAAAAGTCAGATTGGGTTTTACTAGAGCAAATGAATAATAATTAAAAAAAAAAAAGAATAAGAGCTAATTTAAGAAAATGTAATATTTTTTTACAACAATAAATGAAGGAAAAACAGTATAATGGGTAACTTAAGAAAAAAAAAAGTCAGAATTGGTTTTACAAAAAAGAACGAAGGATAACTGCTAATTTTAAAAAAGAAAAAAGAAAAAAGAAAAAAGAATGGCTTTTACAATACTAATAAATAGGGAAAAAAGATCAATAATCTGTTAGTTTAAGTGGAATGAACTCAATTTCTCTTAAATAAAGTTTCGAGTTCAATCTTATGAATGAAAAAATAAATGCTGGGAGAATTTTCTCTTAATGGGATTCGATGTAATTCAATTTCAGATTAGTCGAGATCCAATGTAGTTACCAAATATTAGGAGGTTAATACAAAAAATATATATAGAGAGAAAAAGAAAAAAATAATAATTACCTAATTTAATAATAAAAATCAGATTGGTTTTTGCAATAATAAATGTAGAAAAAAACTTCACTTAGAATAAATATTAGCAAAATTTGATGTTGTCAACGGCTAATAAATATCATTTATAGATCTTTGACTCTTTGTATCCTATTTTTACCTTGAAAATTTTGAGTAATTTCGAACGGATGCTTGGCTTTTGCGTATATCAAACTTGCACCATGTGCTGTTGGGGAAAAAAAAAAGGCTTGGCCAAACAAACGTAACAAACGCAATGTGATGTACGGCGAAGAAAGAAAAAAAGTGATGGTAATATTTGATGTCCTACCACCTAAATGAAAGATTTGTTTTTCTTTGTTAATTTAAGTGAACTGTGAAAGGATAGAAGAATTAAAGCATTGATAACGAAACTTAGTAACACTTTTGTTAGTTGAACATAAAAAGAGATCAATGTAAGACGTGTCAAAAGTACATCGAATTAAATGATATATTAATTATTTTTTTAAAAAAAATTAATTAATTTATAACCATAACGAAAATAGTTACTAAACACATTTAGTATAATCAGCTAGGATATAATTATAAATGAGTAACTAAAATAATGAATTAAATTATAACAATTTATCTACAAGTACAATCATTAAGATTATATGTAGTAATCTTTTTTATTTTAAATTACATAATAAAATATAGCTTTTTTTTATTTCTTAACCCTCTTTACCCTTATGTCATATAATTTAAATTTAAAATAATTTACTTTCATAAAAAAAATTATCATTTAATTATTTAAATTATTGACATACAATAAACAGGTGAAATAATATTATAACAACTAATTAAAAGAACGAATTAATTTATAACAATTTAATTGCAATAAAAAATAACATATTCATATACAATAAGTTGATCACTGAAATACCCGTTATAATGATTAATTAAAATCATGAATTTGAATGCAAAGATTGACGAAAAGAAGAAACACTATCAAATATTGTTTATTACGATTAACTGAATATTATTAGTTAGTGTTTAATCACTGTATATTAATTAGACCAACCTATGAAAATAATAGATAAATACAACCAAATCAATTGAATGAAAAATGATTATAATGATCGTTAGTAGAAACTTACTCTCTCTATTCAACTTTAATAAATTTAGTTTTTCTTGTTCAATAAAATAATGAAACAATAATTTATTGATAAAATTTTATATTTATCTTTAATTAAATATCACTAGACTTCTTATTTAATACTCCCTCCAATAGGATTTAGTTGCCACAAGTTGATTTTTATATAAAGTTTGACTGGATGATTTATATAGTAAATAGATGATAATTAAAAAAAATTTTCTTTCTATACATGGTACTTATTGAGTATTTTTTCTTAGATAAATTTTTTTTTAATTATCATTCATTCACTATATAAAATCATCATGTTAAAACTCTATCTAAAAATCAAATTAAGATAATTAAATCCAGCTGGAGAGAGTATATATTGACATAATTTTTTTAAAATAATAATAAATGTATTGAATGACATTCTAAAAAAGATAAATAGACAACTAAATTTAAATATCCTAAATTAAAAACTAAATTTTCTAAAGTTGAACGAGATAAGCATCAAGACTCTTGCTAAAAGGCATAACAGCCAGATTGCCCATTTATATATTTTTTAATATAAACAAAAAAATATTAAAAAAAACGGAAAAAAGAAAACGAAGAAGATGACAAACTTTGTTTTCCTTTTAGTTTAGAAAAAATATATAAGAATGTGTGTATAAATATTTACACAAAGAAATCAGTAAAAAGGAAAAAGGTAAGGGAAAATCAACAAAATTAGAGGGAAATAAAATTTAAAAATTATATAAAAAAATTCAGTTTTAAAAATTTTTAAAAAAAATGTTTTACGTTAAATAGAGTTTGAAGGCTACTGGATAAGAACAAGCTAGGGAATTGGGAGGGAAAAAGAGTGGCAGAGAAGGGAAACAGCACTAAAAGGCAAAGAAAGAAATGGATTCTCATAGAGATGACAGTGTTTTTTTCCATACAAATCGAGATATTTAGAGGAGAAACCATCAAAGGAAGAGGTTTTGGTGAGCGGAAAAGGAGAAGGTTGAAATAGGGCTTAGTCAGGGGAGGGTATTCTAGCGTTGGGCATCCAATTGGTCAGCAGCTCACCATGACACAATACTACCATACTTGCGTATTCTTACGAAAATGTAATAATGATTCAATTCTGTCAATGGAAACTTCCCTTAGAAACCCACAAGGATTCTTTAACTCTGCCCCACAAATTTACCCTATAAATTGCACCTTATGGTGTCATTTTTCACACAAGTTCCGATAATTTTCAAAGAGTGTCTTACTTTCTAGCCATTGCCTCTTAAGTTTCTTGTTCAATTCAATTCCTTTCTCAATCATTTTCTTTTTTTGAGGTATGGTCCTTAGACCCTTTTCTTTGCCGTTGTTTTATCTATTTCTATGTGAGATTAGCGGGTTGATTCTAGATATTGTGTGTCCTAATTAAGATGGGGTTGATTTCACCATCTAGGACTTTGTTGTTTGGATTTGTATGGTTTAAGGCTCAATAACACCTGATTTTGTTGTTTAGGATTTTTTCCAGCCGTTTGCTTTTAATATGATCTATTTTATCCTTTTTTGTTCTATATGACTGATCCATGTTGTTTTCTTATGTGAATTTTACTCAATATATAATTGAATCTTACTCGAATTGAGTCTTTAGATATGATAAGAGATCATTTTTAATTTTGTAAAATTTATTATTTGAGAAGCCCGAATGATTTATGATTTTTTTTTGGCCTAATTTTTACTTGATATACACTAAATTTTAGTCAAAGGAAGTCTTTTGATGTGACAAAAGATCATTTTAAATTTATGAAATCTTTTAGCTAAAAATCTCTAATTATTTATAACTGACCACTGGAGTTAAGTCTCCATGACTAGGGCTAAGTCCACGATGAGGCTAAAAATCTCCAATTATTTATGACTTGACATTGTGGCTAAGTCTCCATGACTAATCATCGCGAGGCGAGGTTTTTGATCTTCTAATTCATGTTATTTATCTTAATTCAACTCAAAATCTTTATTTATTTTATTTATTTATTTTTTTATGGTTTGAGGCATATCCTTAGGCTCTTTTCAACCCCTTCCCCTCACTTTCCTCTACTCATTATAAAATATGTATCACATCTCTATATAAACCACTTTACTTGAAAATAGATTGGTATTTGTGTCTCAAGACTAGATCACTGTTCACAATCTTAAGATGATCTTTTTCCCATTTTCATGTAATTCCATTTGATATTTAACCTATTCTATAAGTTTTGTTCCCTAGATAACTTAACTCTACAAGTTTTTAATCCACTTTTAAAAAAAAAATTATAATATTTTATAATCTAGGGATAGTCTAATAAACTATAAAAGGGGTTTTGAGTTTTGCTTTGAGTTTTGCTTTGTGTTTTGCAATTTAGGACTGGAATTTTTAAAATATCAACGGGAGGATTTCTACTCTTTTTCCCTTTTATTTCAAAAGGATTCTCCTTTTGTGTGTCTAGCCTATTATGTAATGTTTAAAAAAAAAAAAATCAAAAAGCTACATTCTATGAGAAAATTCCCATCTCTAACCTACTTCTTCCAATTTTCAAATCTCTTTAGACACCATATGCTTTATTAAATATTAATACTTTCAACTAAATGAATAGAGAATTGCAGATGTTTGCACAAGCACTTTGATCATGTTAGCAAATTGAGTTGGCTTGGGGCTGGATCTTGAATACTAACAAGAAGCTTGCCACATCTATATCCTAAAGCTATAACACATTTTAGTTGGTTGTAGTTGCCCCTTTTCAGTTTTAAGACATATTTACTCGATTATGGGCCGAAGGTGTTCATTCTTTCATTTTCTTTTCTTTCTTCAAACTAGTTGTTTCATACACTTGTTGATCATTTGACATAGTCCCCGATCTAGTCTAATGGTCTTTCTTTCTTACTTTGAGCAATGTTTATCCTTTTTCACAATATTATTTTCTTAAAATCATTAGGGGTTTTGATAACCAGTTACAAGATTGTGGGTCAAGGGCTGCTTGATTTGTTTACATGATCTTTCTATTGGCTTTATTTTACATAGTTTCATTTTGCTGTTTATACTCTTATTTCTTTTGATGACAGCTTAGAGGTTTATTCTTTGAGATCAAGGCCTCTGTATATTATTAGTTACCTCAGTTTGCTTAATATTTTCTTCCTGTCTTTGTTCCCTGATATCAATCGCGTTTGTACGTAGACCTATCACATGTTCTTTAACATTCTCTTATGTCATATTTTTCTCGAACTTTGTTTGCCTTTGATACTAGTGACAAAACCTACATGACTCGCCTTGTTTTAAATTGTTTTATACATGAAGAAATTACTT